CGTTTTTATCCACTGGGCCATGTGTCTTTGCAGAGGTGAACAAAAAGTTACTAAAGAGGAAAATAACTGAAACTGAGATATCCAGAAAAGGCATGGGATGTGGAACTAGAACATTATACCCCAGTGAACTAAATAAAGGCTTCGGTTCAAAATTACAACGTATATTACCTGGAGAAGGCTGGAACGTACAACAGCCGAAGCGTCGTGAATATGAGAGTATAAATAAAGACAACAGCCTGAATAATGTAAATAGTTCAAATAGTTACAATACCTCATCTCGGAAATATAGACACATGTCTCGTATCATCATAGCAATATATATATATATATATATATATATATATATATATATATATATATATATATATAGTAATTAGAAATATCAGACTGCCAATAGACTGAATTTTATTTCTTTTATTACGTTTAAATTTCTTTGGATATTTTTTACTTTTAATGATTTATAAAGCTGAATTCATTTTGTTGTAGCATACCTACGGACGATAATGTCCCCATTCACATAAATATAGTAGTAAATACTGTATGTTGGTGTGCAGTTCGTCTCCAGCTGTGCTGGTCAAACTATCTGTCTCCGGGCAGAGAGGATCCCCAGACGAGGCTATGTCGAAGGGTAGAATCTCGTCTCGGGAATGAGCTACTCGACTCCATTTTATACGAGGTCTACGGGGAATTTTTGGTCGAGCTTACGGGCTCGGATAGGTTAAATTCAGCCCCGCATCTGACTGCGTGGGGCAGTTGGTAGATATCCTGCAGCTGGAGTTTCATTTGGAATTCATTTATAGCGGTTGACATGCCAACATATGTGTTGTTCGTGTCCTAAGTATCATCGTTCATGATCAACCTTATTCTATTCACTAACCTTCTCTCGGTTCCAACACATTTTTACATGGTAATGGTAATATTAGCCGTTTCCTTATAAGGAAACATTCGGTATTCATTGACCGAGTAACCGGTACTGCTGTCGGTTGGAATTAAAACAATTTTTCAGGAATATAGGTTTCTCGAGTCCAGTAGCTGTTATTGCTCTTTCCAATATTGATGACAGTTTCCTTCCTAACGTTTTGTTTGAAGTAGAGGGAATCGTTAACCTCTTGATTATGCCATATTATTTTCTCTTTGAGTTACATGTGATATCCATTTTAGTATTTGCTGCTGTTGAAACTCCTCAACTGATGTGGACTCTGTTACTTGGTATATTTTTCTTTGTTTGTGATTCTGTAGCGCCAGTCAACAAGGATCGAAGAAGTGTGAACTTTGCCAAGACCTATAGGCTTCACTCAGTGGAAGCCATTTTTAACAATTGATCTTGGAAATCGGTTACCTACAGCTGACAGTTGAAAGATCTGGCGTCATGCGTGACGCCCATATAGTTAATTGTATATATAAAATAATTCGATTATTTATCCAAAAAATTTAATCAATACAATAGTAAAATCGATTAAATATTGCCGTCATTTTTTGATGCTGTATCGTGTTAGATCTCTTTGGATATTATTAATTTTAATAATTTAAAGAATTAAATATAAAGGTACTTTGCCAAGGTTCAAAATGAGATTACCTTTCTGTTTTTTTTTTTTTTAAATATGATTGTATTAACACACCTTACCAACTAAGGATACTATCTGAATTGAACATCAGCCCTGTTAATAAGCAGCTTAACTTTATGCACTGAGGCTGATGTTCACAAATCCTATGGCTGCCTTATAAATCAAAATTTATAAATATTGTATTTCCATTGCAGATTATGGATCAAGTCTTTCTGTATTTTAATGAATGCTTATGTCTGAGAGCAAAGAAATTAACCAAATTAATTCTGTTCTATAGCAGAAAACACAATATGTATGATATATTTATTCATGAAAAAACTTGGACCTCCTTAGTAAGGAGTTATTCATTTATGGTGACATGACAATAAGTAAATATACCTCATGTTACCATAACAATGTAAGATCTTATAAATATGGCGGCTCAGATGGTTAATTACTTGCTTTTTATTTCTTCGGCTGCTGAGTTTCCTTTCTCGAACTCATAAAGCATTATGTGCCTCAAATGATTCTTGGGTACTTCCATGTTAGCAGGTTTTTAATCAAACAAAATTTTATATTATTGTTCTCTGAAATAAAATATGATCAGTTTAAATGCATCTAAACATAAAAATAATGTTCAGCTCCATTAGACGTTATAAAATACTCTTTAAATTTTGTTCATTTTAACAAAAAGTTAAAATTCGGACAGAACTTATTATGACCTGATATATATATATATATATATATATATATATATATATATATATATATATATGTAACCCGGATATAAAAGTTGTCGGGACCGGAGAATAAGTCTTTATATCCGGGTTTGGTCTATTTTATATACACTAACACAGGCTTTAATTTTTTCTTATATCCGGGTTATATCCTAAAGCTGTATATATATATATATGTATATATATATAAATTTTTTTACGACTCATTTTATAGGTTATTTAAAGCCACAAAATCTTTAATCGTAAGAATTTTTCAAATAATAATGATTTGTTACTGATACAACTTCTGCTAATTAACCGATAGATGGGGAGAAGAGGATATTTGCACGTAAGTAAATATACCGATAGAATTGGGGGCACGGATCTCCAATCTGCAATTCCTTATCCATCACACCACCGAATATCCAAGCTTACAGGACCTGGTATACCCAAGCTGCTACCCATCTACGTATTGATCGAGCTCGACGTTGCATAACGTACGAGAACCAATGTTTCAACTTGATATGACCGTAATCATAAATATATATATATATATATATATATATATATATATATATATATATATATATATATGTAATAATAATAATAATCATAAATTCGTATATCACTGTGTGACATTTTGGAATCAGGCCAACTCTGTGAGTAAATTAAAAACATTCCGTGATGGATCCGGACTCGCAATCCTGGAATTTTGGATTCCCGAATACTCATTACTGCGATTGTTTTCGGCAATTTTTGTACGTGATCTTTTGCGACGAATTTTTTTGTACGATAACGATTTTATAACTTGGAAATAAATTTGTGAATAATCGAAATTAATTGCGAAATCCAACGAAAGTCACCCATGAAATAGAAATAATTGTTTGTAAGGAAAGTAAGGACCTACGTACATCAAATTGTCTTTAAATTAAGTGGCGGTAGAAGAATTATCGTTGAATTTTTAAAAGGTAAGCTTAAGTATAAATGCAATCAATTTTGAGTTCTTCTGTAGTTTATTGTTGCCTATTGCATCTACTCCTCCCTACCTATTGTGATGAAGGCCCAATCAAGAGCCCTCTGCAAGAGCTAGCTTAAATGTCGCCTGATAGAGCGGCTTTTAAACTATATATATATATATATATATATATATATATATATATATATATATATGTATGCAAAAGTAGGTATACAATGATAAAAAACAAAACGTGCGCACAAAATGTATTTAATGAACCACTCTTATAATACTGGTAATCCCTTGTCTAATATTTAGTGTATATCTGCTTTTTCAGACCCCTCCATATACATACATGCACACACACACACACACACCATATATATATATATATATATATATATATATATATATATATATATATATATACATAAACCCAGACTTAAGCATATATACATATATCCATAGATATATACACACATATACATGTGCAATACTTTTTCGCTTAAAGGCCCAATTCGACCTTGTCAGACTAATTGGTTCTCTGTATCTAAGTTGATCAGAGCGTATCGGATTTAACGATAGCTCCTTCCGCTCAGAGGGACGTAGGTTCGATTCCTGCCAGAGAGCGTAAATCTTTCTTTAATAAGATCACTCGAACATTCAGGCCGCTAAACGAACATAAATAAATATTCTATTTAATAAATGAGCGGAGCGTTTACTCAAATACGAGTATCCACTAAAACTTAAATAATTAAGTTATTTTTAATGGATACTCGTATTTGAGTAGACGTCCGCTCATTTCACAGCGCAACAAACAAGAAATATTCGCTACACAATCCAACATTGAATACAGCGACCAAATGAATACGTATGTGCGCAACAACACATATATGTGCATATATGTCCAGTCTCACACTGTTTACATATGTTTATGTTTGTGTGAGTGAGCGTGCGTGCGTGTGTGTGTGTGTCTGCATACGTCAATGAATGTACGTGCGTGTATGTATGTTTGCGTAAGTATGAGTGGCGTCCCGATGACAATTTTTCCTCACACTACCATAAAAACACCGATATACGCAACCATATATGAGTCCAAAATTTAAAAAATTAATCAGTTTATCTGACGATCGCAAATAGCGTGAAACCCGGGGTCACAAACTCACACCAATCCAACTAAATGCGTTAGCTCTATCACTGATATTGAGCGCTTTCCAATAAGAACCGCGCATATATGATATATAAATAATATATATATAAGAAATTGCATATTTATATTTATATACATACGCATTTCACACACACACACACACACACACACACACACATACATACATACATATATATATATATATATATATATATATATATATATATATATATATATATATAAAAAAAAAAAAGAAAGAACAGTAAGATATATAATCCGGTGTTCTTATAGATATTTTTATTTTTACAAAATAGTGCTCAATGTAAATTTACAGAGCATTAATATTATAAATTAATTGATTTAAAATATGTTTTTTTTCGCTACACAGTTCTCAAGCGAATTTTTTTTCGAATTCGCTGGAGGATGAAATTTAACTAATGTCTTTAATTTAATTACAAAATTAAATTCGGAGCTTTTAGCTTACATTTTTGAAACATGGTTAGAACTGTGTAGCGAAAAATTATTTTAAATCAATTAATTTATAATATATATATATATATATGTGTGTGTGTGTGTGTGTGTGTGTGTGTGTGTGCGTGTGTGTGTGTACGCGCATTGCGTGTGTGTTTTCTTACCTCGCATGTATCTCCAGTCCATTGAGCTGTACAGGCACAGGTAAAGCCTCCGCCTTCGACGTTCTTCAAGTCGTTCATGAAGCAAGATCCATTATTTGCACAATGGTTGAAGTTACAGGGTGGCTTCTCTTTATCGCAATACATTCCTGTCCACCCGACTGGACAAAGACACGTATACGATGCAATGTCGTCGATACAGGTGGAGTTTTCGTGGCATTCATTAATCTCGCAATCATCGACATTGATCTCGCAACTGGGGCCCGTCCAGCCGTCCATACACTGGCATTTGTACTCGTTGATGAAATCTAGGCAGATGGCACCATTTTTACAGTATCCCAGGGAGCATTCGTTAATGTCCTCCTCACAGTTTTTACCTTCGTAGCCTGGGAGACAATTGCACTGGTAACTTCCCTCGGTGTCCACGCAAGTCGAGTTGTGCATGCAGGGCACTTCGTCAAGTTGGCACTCGTCAATTTGAATTTCGCATAGGTCACCAGTCCAGCCTGGGTCGCACACGCAATCAAAGCCTGATACTAAATCGAGACATTTTCCGCTGCCATTGCAAGGGTTACTAGCGCAATCGTTAATGTTGACCTGTTAATAAATAAATATATATATATATAGTGTCAACTCGTTGTTCATGTAGGATGTGATATCAAGAGGCAAACGAAATATCAACAATTATAGGAGAAAATCAGAATTAATTAATAGATAGATAGATAGATAGATAGATAGATAGATAGATAGATAGATAGACATGACGCCCAACATCGCAAATTGCTACAAAATGAAAACATTAACATAAAAAAAACTAGTGTCACGTTCTTAAATAGGATGAAACTCGAATGTTTAGGCTGATGTTTTGGGTTCGTAGTACTTTGCGGTATGCAGCGAAACTGACACTAGCACAGCTAATTCTATATTAAAGCATCTACTGTATTTTGTCCAAGTGATGAACGGATGTTCCCTCAGGGAGGTCCCGTGGCTTGAGCGCCTATTGGAACTTAAACTTGACCCAGACCTCAAGTTGAACTCGTACATACAATCCATCGCTAAAGATGCTGGGAAAATTGATTGTGATTTATGTAACCTCTGAGTCAGATTTTTTTTCTTTTAATTTGTCGTGAAGTGATTTGTTAGGCAAGTAATGTACTGAGGTCAGGGAGGGGGAAATGTTGGCAAACTGTATTGTCCTTGTTGACCAACTTTCATGTCAGATGGAACAATTATTTTTGCATTCTTCTGTAATACAACCTGTCACTTTAGAAAATGTCAAGAAATGAATGTTCCTTTTTTAAACCAAAATAACATTGATGGGATGAACTTCTTACTGATGAAGACGTATAGTCTCTTTTCCTTCCTTTTGGTTTCGAACACGTAGCGGATTGGGCTGAAAATCTTTCGGCATCTTTTTTTTTTTATTTCTCTTTTTAGTATTAGACGTCCCAAATTTAAAACTATATCTACAGGGTGCAACAGAAATACCTCCTACATATATCTCCCAGAAGTACCTCTCATATAATAGTGAAACATTAGCTAGATGAGGCCAACATTGCCACTTATGTCTTACCATTATGAGGGAGATATATGTGGTAGTGTGTGTGTGTGGGGGCTATTTCTGCATCCTGTATAAGAAAAATAAAAAACAATGAGGAAGTAGATTGAGCTGGGATCTTTTCAGCATCAGTTTTTTTTTATTGCTATTTCATAATATCTATCTTGTTCCGTTGTACAAGACAAAGATTTTTTTCTTCCCCACACAATGACAAATGAGCACCATTTAAAGGAGGTACCTCCACAAAATCGCTAAAAAATCAGTATACCATTATGAAAACATGCTCCAAATGTAATGAAAGCATAATTTTATTGTCAACATCTTTGTTATTATTAAGAGGCAGAATCAAAATATTTTTTAAATATTTGATTAATTTTTTTAGTACCCGACTCTATCTTCTATCTTTACAAGAGCCAGATCAGACCGGAAATAAAGTACTATTGCCATATATACTATTGTGGGAGATGCTGTCCAGTATTCACTTTTCCACTTTCGATAGCGTCCAAAAGCGTCTCCTCGTACCTGTGGACGACGGATTATTTTCCATTCTGCAACCCCCCCCACAGATGAGACGTCGCAATCCTCTCAATGCTCTATCGCTATTTCCATGGAGAGTGTTCAGATGAACTACACTGACCTTCATAGCTAAGACCCGTCATGCCACGTACATTGTAGCGAGCCGCTCCTATTTCTTTCGTATTCTTCTGGCGAGAGGTAAGTTCCACTTAAGCAGCTTCTACCCACAAACCACTTTCTTGTGGTACCGACTCCCTAGAGGTTGCTTCCCCGATTACTACAATGTTAACCTGTTCAATTCTAGGGTTAACCGTTATTTTTCATACATAACTGCTCTTATCTGTAACCTTCTACCTTGTGCAGGGTGAATACCACTTTTAAAGAATAATAGTGATATATATATATATATATATATATATATAATTTTACACAGTCTATTGTGAATAAGTAAAACACTACCAATAATTAACTGTATCGTTATATTTTCTTCAGAATTCAATTTAGGAGTAGATAGCTTTTTCTCTCCATTTCTCTACCAATAGGAGTAAATAGGTTCGTCTATCGTCCAGTTTACACCCCTCCCCGGTCTTTTTGGACTGGAGTAGAGGTTTATCCCTTGTTTCCTGTTTAGGATTGGGCTTCCGGTTCCTTCTAAAATCTGATTCAACTCTGTTACTCCTAACGCTTGTTCTTTCCTACGCAAACATAATTCCCTCTATCTTGAGTGGCTCTTGGGCCTTGTGTTTGGTGAACCGTAGTCAAAAAAAAGATATTCCACTTTTTCATAGAGTCAAACATGAGATTCACTACTCCATCACAACATTTCAGCCGTTGTATTCTTTGGTCTTCTTCGATTGTCTTTTGTAAGGGGCACAGGAAAAAAGCAAAAGAGACAGCTCTCTAAGGCGCCAATCTCCTGTGGATTCAACTACCACCGATAGGACAACATGGAGGCACGGGATGTATCAGGCAGCCGTCAGCGCCGTAGTGTGCCATAGAAAAAGTGCTCAGTTCCGTGAAAACCTTAACTCCAGCCGACTGTCAAATTCTTTCCCGCCGTCGTAGCCAAAAACACAGACCCCGCAACCCACGTGAGATCCTATACCAGACGTTGATAACTCTTCCCCATATCTTCGTTTGCGAATCATGGAGTGGCTCTGTGCCACGTCGAGCTAAGCACAGTGAAAGATATTTACCGAGAGGCGGGTCTGTAGAGAATTCTGAATGTGTCGGTCGCTAGGAAATAAAACCTGTTTTTAATTATGTAAATCGTAAGTGGAGTAAGACGCAAGTAAATAACAAAGAATGAAAAAGAAATTACGGGAGCAAATGAAATCAAAGAATTGATTCTGTTTATTTCATTACTTTTTTAGTCAGCCAGAATCTCTTAAAAAACCTCCCTAAAACCCGTACAAGGATTTTTACCACCATTCAGTTTTATTTTAAGACATTAGAAAAACTCTGCTCATTATACAGAATCAAGTCAAAACCAGAAGTAGGTTGTGTTGAGTTGTGTGCTTTTTACGACTTGCCAACACTTGCTGAGATATTTATGGTCGAGATAAACTTTAAAAGAAAATTATATTTGCGCCGAAAAAAAAAAATTACTTGGTAAATATATAAGTATATTGAGGGATATGTAAAATATTAGTCGTTTATATTCCTATCTACCAGCATTTACTTGGTTCAGGGATAGGTATATATTAGTCGTATATATTTGAGCTTATAATCATCTATTTGGTTAGGAATAGGTAGATATTAGTCGTATATATTTATTTGTCTATTTGCTAGGAATATAATCATTTAGTCGAGCTTATAATTTATTTGGTTAGGAATAGGTAGATTTATTAGTCGTTAGTCGTATATTTGAGCTTATAATCATCTATTTGGTTAGGAATAGGTAGATATTAGTCGTATATATTTGAGCTTATAATCGTCTATTTGGTTAGGAATAGGTAAATGTTAGTCGTATATATTTGAGCTTATAATCATCTATTTGGTTAGGAATAGGTAAATGTTAGTCGTATATATTTGAGCTTATAATCGTCTATTTGATTAGGAATAGGTAAATGTTAGTCGTATATATTTGAGCTTATAATCGTCTATTTGGTTAGAAATAGATAAATATTAGTCGTATATATTTGAGCTTATAATCATCTATTTGGTTAGGAATAGGTAATTATTAGTCGTATATATTTGAGCATATAAGCAGTTAATTGGTTAGAGGTAGGTAGATATTGGTGGTTTATATTTCAGCCTATAAGCATTCACCTGGTTAAATAATTAGTAAATATTGGTAATTTATATTTTGAGTCTATACTGGTAACTTCCCTCGGTGTCCACGCAAGTCGAGTTGTGCATGCAGGGCACTCCGTCAAGTTGGCACTCGTCAATTTGAATTTCACAAGTTCCGTCTCGGTCGCATACTTTGGAGGTAAACATTGGTCTTTTATACTTGTGTCTGTCAGAATTGACTTGGTTTGTGTGAGATAAATTGTTTGTGTATATTTGTTTTAGAGGAGCAGCCTTGCGTGAAGTGATGTTTAACAAGCTAATCTGATTGTTTTTTTTTTTTTTGCTACTGGGTATTATTTATTATTCGGTCGAATTAGCTCAGATATTCATGGATCTATCATATCAACCAGCATGGTCCTGCATCAAGGTCGTATGATCATTAGGGAGCCATTCTTTGTCATAACATAGTTGGTCAATGTGTGTGACCAGCCTGTCTTGCATCATGTCTAATCTACTGAAGGTAGACATGCTTATAGGTCCATTAGACAGTAAAAGAGCTTACATGGCTTTCATGAGAACTTAGAATGAAGAGTTTCTCAATAAATTTGCTTATTGTCTTTTACCTTGCCAAATATCAGATAATATTGAGATATCTTTCAATTCTTAAAATAGTACATGGTTCAATCTCTATTTTAAGATCATCAATGACAGAGTGGTATAAATATTAAACATACTATTATTATTTTTATTCGATCAAGCCAACTCAGACATTCATGAGTCTATCATGCCAACCAGTAGATCATTTTCTTTCACAGCAGTGTCATGCAAAGTGCATACTATGTTCACATAAGATTGTAGAAATATCAATGATGAGTCCATAAAACTGTGATTTGGTTGGATGATGTCTCCAAGAGATGTTAAGTATAGCTCTCAACACCTGAGTGTAAGTTCCATCAAGCTTAGACTCAATGGTTGCGCTAGCTTGGATATTCATGAGTCTATCATGCCAACTATCATGGTCTTGCATCAAGGTCGGAAGGTCATTAGGGAGGCATTCTGTATCATAACATAGCTGGTCAGTGTAGGTGATTGCTGGACGACCAGCTCGCCTTGCGTTATGGCGAGGTGCCCATGACAGTAGATCACTCACGAGTTCATGTTTTGGTCGCCAAAGTTATAGACGCTTAAGCGATTATTTTTCGATACATAATCGTCGACGCAGATATTTTTCCCGCAGTAGGTTGCCATTTCTTTCTGTGAACCCAAGGCTAATAAAACTGTCCTGCTG